AAGTTCAGGTGCTAAGACATGCACCAGCAAAACCCACAGAAAAAATGATTAAATTCATGATCAAAGCCTGGAATAAAGCCTAGTGTAACATGCAGAGGCATACACAACTCTTACCGATGCTTGGCCAGACGGCTGATGTAGCATTATACGAGCGTTCGGCAACGAGTACCGCAGGCCGGGGCTGCCGGCAGTGAGCAGTAGCGATGCCATGCTACTCGCCTGACCGATGCACCATGTAGCGATGGCGATCCGTGGTCGAATGTACTGCATTGTATCGTAGATGCCGAGTCCTGCTGTCACGCTACCACCTAAAGCTGCAGCTCTGAACAACGATTCACGTGGAGGTGAAAAAATGCATGCCTACCTGGACTGTTGATATACATATGCACCGGCTTCGTGTGGCTCTTCGACTGCAGGAAAAGCAGCTGAGCAACGACAAGGCTCGACATCTCATCGCTGATCTAGAACATAATATATGCTCTATGTGAAGATATCCATGAACCAAATACCAAAGTTACAAAATGACCGAAAAAGAAACACACATGCTTACAGGCCCCATCAAGCAAACAATGCGTTCTTCCAACAAACGGGAGTATATGTCATAGGCTCTCTCTCCACGACCAGTCTGTTCGATGACAATCGGAACAAAATTTAGAAGTCTGGAAGCACATGAGTGAAAATGTCGAGAAACGAGTCGGGTTACCATTGCCATACTTTTGAAGCTCTGGTTCGTAAATCTGCACTTGTTACCGTAAAATCAGCCTGCAATAATCAAGTTAGTTTGTTACAATCATCGTTTATAGGATCGAATGAATCAAAGCTTGCTGACTGAATGGAATGGTAAGAAGACTAATTTTTCAAGAAAAGAAAAGAAATAATCTGAAAATACTACATGTATAATCAAACATATTTGCCATTTGAGCTTTTGGAGCTATCAAAAATTAGTAAGCAAACAGCCAGTGAAATCAGTATGCAAGCGATGAGTAATTAGGAACACGCAGAAGAATAACATTGAAAAAAATTGAAATTGTGTTATTTAAAGTAAGTTAAATTTCATAGAACGCACAATGATATTAGAATTACAGGTGTTCAGTGTAGTTATGTTCTACCAAAAACATAGATATTTCTGAATTCAGTTGACAAAATTCATGAATACATGTACTTGGGATTTTGCCATGCACGGAATGAGTGGCGTTGTCCAGAGTACTTTGAACAAATCTTTCGAAAAATTGCTTAAACACTGAAGTTTCTGAATATATAATTGTATTTAAGGCCACTTGTTCCAAGGGATAGTCTCATCGATCGTATTAACGAATTTAATTCGCAAATAGCAGCCCATCAAGATGAATCTTGATGCATATATTTAAAGTAGCAGAATGAATTCAATGAAATCTGCTAACTACATCTATGACTCAAGAAATATTTCCATGCAGAGGACTCTTTTCAACGATCAGAACACTAGTCAGACGCTTTTCTAACGTATGTACCATTGACTTTAACGAAACAACAACATTAGCAGTTTTTTAGGAGATCAGCGCCGATAAAAATTGAAATGGTGTCTTTAGGTTCGCCATTAATATTAAGTTCTAATTAAAAGAGCTTAAAGATTTTATTTTTTAAGCTAAGCAAACAAGTGAGTCTACGGATAAAGAAGAAAAAGTGACAGCTTATGTTAGCAACATGAGGTGCAAGGAAATGCCGGCCGCTAAATGTTCCTATATTTCGTTCAGTTAATTCTGCATTCTGACTGTCAGAGATTCATGGGTATATTCTCGCAACTGCTTACAGATGAGCGGATCAGGAATTGCTTGTTCAGTACTTTGGCAACAGAGAAGAATGACTTGAGGAAAACGTCTCGACAGACTTGGGTCTTTCAAAAACTCAAGCGCTGACAGAATCAGGAACTTTTGAGACACCGTCTGGCGTGTCTGCTTCGTAAAGATGAATGGACATCGAAACTGACTGACTGTGAGATTTATCATTTGTCTTTTGCTGATTGAAATGTCGACTGCAGCCCCATGTTTATCTCATTGGACTTATCTTGATGATTTATTTCGCTGTCATCAGAGGGTAATCTAAAACAATTTTTTATATTGATCGTCTAATTTAAATTAGGTGAAATTATTCAGCATTCAAACGTAGGCATCTTAAATCTTTTGACTGCACTTCGTCTTTCATTAACCGCCGTAACCAGATGTAATAAATATTCAACCAGTTCTCTGCCAATCTTTTCACAGCGACTTTTCTTAATCTGTAGTGGACAACTAGTTTCACACCAACGATATCGAGGTGAACCTTTAATGAGGTTAGTCATCGTGCTGATATCGTCGTGTTTTCGAATGAATGATTTAGCATAACGCAGAGGAAGCGAGTTGAGACAATTCTGTTTTACATGATACACTAACATGATTAACATATTCAGTGAGTTTCATATACCACAGTCGCTAAGGTAGAATCGCAAGCTAACAATAACACAGGTAGTCGAGGGTTAAGTAAACAACATTCACCGTTGTTCTGAAATATGAGGCGTACTTGAAATAACTTCATCAGGGTGTTGTCTACTCAACATGATTTTGGTTTTTATTCAATATATGCGAGTGATTTTTCATGGATGCTATGAAAGATGGGATTCTCGCCGTTGATGATTACAAGCGTTATTAGCTACAGTCGATGGACCCATAATCGAGATACTGTTTGGGTGTCACAAATATGATCAATAGTTTTCTGTGCACATGCGCTTCGATACGTTGTCGTGAATGCCGACCTGCCATTGACGAGTGTGTAAGCACAATCCTCTTTGTGAAAACAGTCATGTCGAGCAATGCCTCACCTGTTTATTCATCGCTTAGTGGGCACTGGTTTGTTTGTCGACGGCGACGACGACGTAGTGCTAACGACGGAAAGCTGACGTCCAGCAAACAAGTCGTTTTTCCTCTCGCCGTCTTGGCAGCGAACTCGCTTTCATTTTACACTCAGTAGTATCTATAGTCGGCTCGACAAAGAGGACGCAGAGGCAAAGGCTCAAACTCGTCGTTGTCGGCAGTTACGCAACAGGTAAACAGCTTAAGCCTTAGGATACCGTTGATGAGGCTCCCTTAAGCAGCGCTGCTGCGGTCTGCGATCTGGGGTCCACAGAAACTTGGCGTAATCGCACAAACACAGCAGATCGCGTCATTTGTGTTTGTCCAATCGATCTGTTCCCTCTTTCTCGCCCACTGCTGGCAACTTTCCGTCCAATCATTCCTCAGAGACGTTTAGCAGCTGCCATACTTAAACATGTGGCTGATTCAGCATATTTCGGTAATCTGACAGCCAGCCTTTTCGAAAATTCACCTCAGAAATATGTATAACGCATATGAAGTGAGTGTCATG